GGGGGGGGGGGGGGGGGGGGGGGGGTAAAAAGTCAAGAAATTGATGATTTTTTAAATACATTCTTTGATTCTTTCAATACCTCTATACAAAATCTCAGATAGCCTAGAAGAATGTGTAAAATACAGGAATTTTTCTAAAAAATTATGAAATTTTAAGGTTAAACATCGGGATTTTCAGTGACTCGAATTTTCGGAAAATTTGAATAATTTATTGGTGTATGTCGGCCGAAAAATGGTGTTAATGTATTCCATACATTTGAAAGTAGGAATATAAATTGTTATGGATTTTTCATTCACGAAGTTTTTGTGTGAAAAGAAAAAATCTAAAGACGGGGGGGATTCCCTTATTATGCGACCACTTAAGGGTTAAACAAGCTGTTATATCTCAGGAACTACTGGATCGATCGGGCTTAAACAGCGCCCCGAAGTTGAGCTCAATAATAGCTACAATGAGCTAAAATTTCAGATTTTTATCTACAAATTTCACCGTATTTCTGACGAATTTTCTAAAAATTAATCATCAAAAACTCAAGTCATCGGATCCATACATACAGACATGACCTGAAAAAACATCATTTCTTCACGTTTCATAACATTCCAGACCATTTGCAATCAAAATTAGAAAATTGAAAAATCGGTCAAAAACAAGGCTTTCACTTGAAAGCAAAAATGTTCAGAATTTTGAGGAAAATTTTCACATAAAAAATTGGCGAATTTGTTCATATACAGGGTGTCCCAGAAAGGGAAGTACTCCCTGAAGTGGGGGGTTGGGGGTTGAATTATAGATCGAAAAGTCTAATGAACTTTTTCGATCCGAAGCTTCATGGATCAGTCATTGAAAAATGAAGCTCGGCTAATGTGGTGGCGGGGTTAGAGATGCGCTTATCAGTGTGCCGGCCGTCCGCGAAGTCCGTACTCTTCCGTCTTTGAGAGGGATGAAACCGTGGGTTCTCAATCGTTCCGTCGCCGATCTCTATTTCTTTTCAGTTTTGAACTTTTCCAAAGTGCAATTGAAATAATATGATAATATTACCCTCTATCGATGGGACCACAGATTTTCTGTCGGTTGAGAACAATAACACATCTCTGTTTTTGGTGGGTATGGGTAAAAAAGACGAAGAGGGAAAAATTGAAGAATTGATAGCATCTAAATCCATCAATTTTGACATAAGCCTCGTGGTCGCAAGTTCGAAACCCGTTTAATTTTTTTTATCGAATGGTGAACTATCTTTTATGTCAAAAAAATGATAAAACATTACGTTTTCATTTTCCCGTTGATCAGAAAGAGGATTTAGAAAAATAGAATTTTCTGGTGTCCTCATCCCACAATTCTCAACTAATTGACTTGAATGTTGGCTCACACATACGTAATATATAATTTTTGGATTTTTCTTCTTAAAATTGGGTCAGGTGAAAAATTTCAAAAATTAGAAATTTTTTTAAATACATGAGAAATCACTGATGTGCGAATTTTTTAAGATTTTTCGAATCATTTATTCAAAATATAACGGTAAAAATGTTTTAAAAAATGCAGTAAAATTCATACTTCAAATATTCGTTAGGTGTCTTAAATCGAACAATTTTTCATATTTTTCACCTGAACCAATTCGAGAAAAATATTTCAAGAATGAAAAAAATTGACATTTTTGAAATAGTAGGGGGGGAGTAGGGCAAAATGGACCGGGAGGGCAAAGCGGACCGCTAGGGCAAAACGGACCCCTGACAAAAAATTGGTAATTTTCGTGTTTTTTTTCTTTCCTTCAAATCAGGAACACTGTGTTGAATTAAAAGTGAGTTTCTTGAATCGTGACCGTCACAGGGGTTTTATAGACAAGAAGTGTCATTGAACCGCAATTTGATCAGATTTGCTAATTATCTCAAACCACAAATGACTTCGAATTTGCTCCATTCGGAAGCAAAAACAAAAATTATCAATTTTCTGTCAGTGGTCCGTTTTGCCCCGCGGTCCGTTTTGCCCTACCGTCCCCTATATTTCAGGGCGAGTGCCATGGGGATTTTTTACTCGCGTGGTTGGCCATGTCTTATGTAAAAAAAACCATTGCACTAGTCGTGAACGATATTTTTCTGTAGTGATTTTCACTTTTACGAGTTTGGGCAAGGGCCAATATCAATCCCCGGACGATGAAAAGTGAAGGTCAGTACAGAAAAGTTCTTTTATGTCATTGGGTCCGATAAACTGCAATTCTAACCCCGCTTCGCTCGGTTAGATCGCGGTTTTCGGGCCCAATGACATAAAGTATCATATGTCACATGGCGATAAAAGTATTATCTGGCGAATATGATTATAATCCCCGCCTTCGGCTCCACCATTATAAAGCCACCTTTGCCAGAAAATACTTTTATCGCCTGATGAGATAATATACTACTCTGTACTGTTCTGTACTTTTCCTCGTCCGGGGATTGGTATTAGCCCTTCCCCAAACTCGCGAAAGTGAAAATCACTACGGAAAAATATCGTTCACGACTAGGGGAGCTGGTGGTATTACCGCGCACCTAACAAAATAACGTATATTTTGAAAATTATAATCAGATTGTAGACGAATAAACGCGAGAAAAGTATTTTGTGGTGATTCAGCCTCAAGATTATGCACTTTTTAGAGTTGTTCCCCTATAGAAAAATCAGTGACCGTGACGCTGGTCGTTTTCCTGGTCTCTACGCTGATTTCATCCTTCCTCTCTGATAAACCCCATATATTTTATACTCATTCGGAAGCTTATTGAATATTCAACATTGTATCAAAATCGTTTTTCGTAAATATCTCAGAATCTATCCATCCGATTTCAATCTTTTTTTCAAAATACTCGCCTCGATGTCTCCTATCTCAAACAATCAAAATATATATGTATACTCGTGCGGACAAAATTTTAAGATATTGCCGTTTTTCCGTTTTTTATGAAAAATCTTGTTTACACGATAACTTGATAAAAAATGGAGATAGGGAGTTGAAATTTTGGATGCTTCAAACTTTTATAACATAAAAGGTTGGTATTGCGGATGGGGGCAATTGGCCGAGCGGTTCTTGAGTTATTCAACCTTTTGTGTAAATATATTTCTTCAAATTTCTCATGAACTACTGGACGGATTTCAATTTTTTTTTTCAAAATACTTGCCTCGGTGGCCACCATCTAGATCAATCAAAATATGTCCCGTCCATACAAAAAATCAAAGATATTCCCGTTTTTCGTTTTTTAAATTTTTTCATTCTTGTACGCACGATATTTTGAGAAAAAATGAAAATAGTTAGTTGAAATTTGGTGTGATTATAGCTCTTACAACATTGAAGATTCGTATTTTGGGTAGGCGCAATCGGCCGAGCAGTTTCGGAGATATTTAACCTTTCGTACAAATCTATTTCATTAAAAGGTTGAATATCTTCCTGTAGACATCCTGTAGCATGTGGTTACGGTTATATACCTGTCACAAGGACAGGGAATTGCTGCGGATCCATTCGGAAGCTTACTACCAATGGAATTGGTAGAACTAAAAAAAAAAGGACTAATAATGCAAAAAGAAACGGTCACAGGCCTTCTGTCGGATGGGCTCGAATCCCTTCTAGTTTTTGGCAAATTGCGACGGTTATAGACGGAGAAGGGTAAATTGCCACAACTGTCATAAATGCCTGGAGATGTGACCGTCAATTACGGTCACATGAGCGTCATATGACGGATCAAGTGGTGCATTTGCATTTCGAAAATACATTCAATAATTCATGAAATCGTTTGTTCCAGGTATAGCGATGGTTCAGTGAAGTTGAGGAATCCGAATATCGAACTGATGGATCAGGACATTCTGTACCACTTAGCTCTGGGTAGTGGTTCCCACGATCTGGTCGAGATGTTCGGTGATGTGAAGGTAAATAAATTGATTGGCTGCTCCTTCGGAATTTGACAGGTCATCAACTGTTTCGAACATGTGCAATGCATTCTTAACGACAAGTATCCGCCCCATTGTACTTCCGCCTATGACTTATACTGCCGTAATCTCTTATGTTCGAAACCAGTTTATCGGAACAAATAATTACATTGGTCATCGGGAAATATGTGATTCATACAGCAAATTGTTTTTAACCTATTTTATATCGGTGATAAAACATATTATGCGGTCTAAATGATGAGTTCATTACTGGAAATAATAAACAGTTGTCATTTTTTATGTCGTTTATTATTTCATGCTGATCCTGCATCATGGTCAGAGTCCGCGAGATCATGGATATGGATTTTATGTCTTCTGGGTCGTTGATTTCGAAAAATATCAGTTATTTATTTTTTTATTTTTAACGGCATTTGTCACAAGAAACTTGTGACTATGGCCATCGCCCGAGGACCTTCAGCCTGAAATGTCAATTAGAATATATTAGAATACTGTATTTCCTTGATGCTACAGTTACAGTTTTACATCTACACAAGCCAATCAACAAATATCTTCAATAACACTCCAATAAATTGTTTTTATGTCAATAATGTCCATAAGGTATAACAACTGATGGTAACATCACAGTATCACAATTTGAGCACTTGTGCAATTTCTAGTTTTTTAAAATTTCTGTTCATTGTAATCTTTCAACACTTTCTCTATCTTAGCTACCTTACACATGACGGTACATTTACTTCTCCTACTAGGGCATTCAGTAACTTCTTCCGCCAGCTTCTTTGGTTTGGATTTCCTCTCCAGTCTGTCCACCAGTCTCTATCTGGCGCTTTCCGTCTTCTCATCACCAGCTTGCAGCTTATTGCTTGCTCCAAAGATTCTACTGAGTCATTGCATGCCCGGCATTTGGTATCCATATAGCCGCCTTTATCCTATCTCAATGCATTGCCACATCTCCATCTAGCCCAAGTCTCTTTCTGCCAAGCCTTCAGTCCTCTCCTGTGCCAGTACTTCTCTATTTCTGTTTCAGTTTTGATGGTCGAGAAATGACTGGAGTAGTTCGAGCTATCCACCTTCTCCCAGTCAGTCTGTATCTCTTGATCCATTGCGTTTTCTCTAACTCTCTGAGCTTTTGCTCGACTTCCCCCAGCTCTCTTCCTTCACTCAGCATTTCTAATAGTTCGCCACCAATTCGTCCTAGTGCTCCTTTCAAACTTTTTTCCCATCTAGTCGGGTTGCCATTTCTTATATTCCTTATTTCTTCCTTTAAGCATTTTCTCGCCCATCTATTCTCTCCCATGAGGCCTAACTGCATTGAAATGTCAGTTATTTTGCCAGGAAAATGCGATGTTTTAATTGTTATTTATTAACAATCTAATTTAACCAGGTGGAGCTATAAAGAAATTTCATAATATCAAAATGTTTAATATTTCATAAAGAATAATTTTTCATCACATTTTCCGCAAAACGGCATTCGATGGAAAAACTTCTCTGACGAACAGACCAATGGACGCACTAAATTTACACGAAAAAACGAGAATTTTTATCATTAAATCAAAATGAAAATGATAAAATAATCGAAATAATACCCAAAATTTCAACTGACACCGGTAGTCCTTACGCACACGACAGTCCTGTATAAACTGTTAGATAGGATCGATAATGTCAGTGGGTTTCATGTTTTTTGGGTCGCTGATCACGAATCTGTTGGTTACTTTTCCGAAAAATTGTCCCTTCCATTGTTATTAACAACTTTAATTGTTTAAAAAGCTTTATCTCAGAAGCTATGACAGGTGTGAGAAAAAGTTTCAAACAAAAGATGTTTGACATGTAAAAATACTCATTTTTTGTTCTATACGTTTTTCCCTTAATTTTTCTCGATCTGCATCGAGTGTCCCGATAAACGCATCGGAGCGCGCCAACGCCTTGCGCAAGTACTCACGCGCCGTCCGCTCCGCTGCCACCCCCGATAACGCCGTATCTATCATAGTTAGGGGAAAAACGTATAGAACAAAAAATGAGTATTTTTTCATGTCAAACATCCTTTGTTTGAAACTTTTTCTCACACCTGTCATAGCTTCTGAGATAAAGCTTTTTAAACAATTAAAATTGTTAATAGCAATTGAAGGGACAATTTTTCGGAAAAGCAACTGACAGATTCGTGATCAGCGACCCAAAAAACAAAACCCATTGACATTATCGTGGGCGTAAGGACTACGGTCCGAATCTATATGCGCAAATATATACGTGGTTGATGACTAGACTAACCATTATAATTTCGAATAATGTAAAAGAAAAAAACAACTATTTGCTAATTGATTTAATCATTTATTATTGATGAGTCTTGACCCTTCAATGGATTTATCACTGAAAAACCCATTTTTTTAAACGTAAAATATTCCACACACTACTGGTTTCGAACCCGGGATCTACAGATTACGAAGCCTACACCTTAGCCGACTACCCTACCGCACAATTCGTATATTGCACAATTTGTACTGTCTATATAAATCACAGGCTTCATATGCATCATTCTATCATTTTTTTTAACGTTTGTATGGTTCAACCTGATAATAATAATTATGAATCCATCCTCTCCCCCCCCTTCCCCTCCCCCCACCTACGGCAAAGATTAGGCAAATATTCGGCAATCGGCAAAGGTCTTATCAGAGTGACCACAAGCCTTGGGATCAACTTAGAAAAGACAGCTCTACCTTTCTCGAGTTTCAAATTGAAAAGTTGAGACAAAAAATCGTGGGGATTGAACGGGAAGAACATAGGGAATAATAATGGGGACGAATTTGTAATGACGTTTAACGAGAAGAAAACAGCGCGATCATAATGGCCAAAGGAGGAATTTATTCGATTTCAGTGGCCGGTTGACTCTTAGATAAATCGAAGGATCTATGATGAGAAAAATACTTCCTTAATTCATCTAAGTTAGGTTCGGTTGACCGAATCAGGTCATGATAAGAGCCGAAGCTAAGAACCGAATTTGTGCCGAACATCATATAGAAATACGACACACATGAAGGGTCCGAATTCCTGCCACATATGGCATGCGGTACTCGGCATACCGAGCCTTCACCTGCATCTGGGCCGGATTCGGCTCTGGCTGGATTCGGCATGCCGTACGAAATTTCTAATAGGGATATTTCCCAACAATCATGGAAAAGAAACGAAGTTATTTTCATAAGCATTAAGAAAATGAAAATTTTCAAAACGTGGTATATATGCCACTAGCGATGAGAGACTTTAAAATAAAAGCATGAAAATTCAATTCTTCCTTGAAAACTCACATAACTCAATGAAAGATGGTGCATTTAAATAATTTGGAGGCGTGGGAGAAACTAAAACGTAACTTTCCTTTCACTTTTAACTTGTTTCTAGTTCGTGTGTATGGGAGGAACTCCGAAACGTATGGAGAACTTCGCTTGGTACATAATGAAGGAAATAGGACACAAGCTAGCAGCTGGTACAACTTTACTGGACATCAGTCAGCATTCATATCGCTATTCAATGTATAAAGTCGGTCCAGTTCTCTCTGTCAGTGTGAGTATCCCAGCCACGTTGAAAAAAAATCCGATAGCTAGTACAGGGCAGATTGTGCTGTTTTAGGAACATTCATCATGGAAAATATTCCCACCGAGTTTTGCAATTTCTGTGGATTCCATAGAGATGCCAATATTCCTATAGAGCTGTCTCTTTTTTAACTGTCACCCTGCTCTACAAAAAAGTTCCTATGCAATTTCATTTGGCTTCCTTAGCTTAAAAAGGTATTCATAATAAAATTCACCTGAAATGTTCAAGTTATATAGTTCTCTCAACAATGGGATTTCATGATAAGAGATCTTTTTATATACTCCATTTTTCATCTAAAGGTCAATGAATCCACAGGAATATTCAGTAGTGAAAACATACGCAGGAAAGCATGAGGGAAATGTTCAATTAATTTTGGAGGTCGAGTGGTATTCGACGGATTATTTTTGGTAATCGAATCCTTCCCAAGCCGACTCATTTTGACTTTCTTCATGACTTTCTTTCACTCTATAGGATAATATTTGATAGTTATTTGGTTAAAGAAACAATTGCAGAGCTAGAGGGAAACTATCAAAAGCTAGGGGGAAACAACCGCTGTAATTTTAATTGGGAAGTACTTCATGTTATTGAATACTGAACTCTGATTGGCCCAGGGAAGGCCAGATCCGATTACCAAAAATAATCATAGAAATCTGTAAATGGTACTGGAATGTGCACATGAAGAGATATATCTATCATTCACAATCCTGATGAACAAACTAATGAGCCAATTTTTTCCCATTTTTTTTAGCATGGAATGGGAATTGCGTCGATAGGTATTCTGCTACATGAAATTATAAAACTCATGTATCATGCAAAAGTACGTGATCCTATGTTCATCAGGGTTGGTACGTCAGGAGGAATTGGATTAGATCCGGGCACGGTCGTAATATCGGAGGAGGCTGTCGATGGTATGCTCAAGCCATACTTCGAACAGGTGCGGATTTTACACTTTCATTAGATCATAAGCCGAATTCTGTGGTGAAATTGTGACACACCTGACACTAGACAATGAATTGAAACAGCATCCAAATTCAGTGATGAAGTAGTGAATAGTAACAAGTTGAATTTGACATTTTTGGTTACACAATTCGTGAAGAAACAACAAGAAAAGTCCACTAACGTTATTCCGTGAATTCGCCCATGATAACTGACAATGAGGTATTGTGACAAAATGAGACACTGAAGTTTCAAAATTATCAGCAATTTTCTAACAGGTAAATTGTGAATAAATAAACGTGTCAAGCTTTCCAGGTTGAACAATAATGCATTTCCTGAAAAACTTGACAAAATGATTTGTAAACTTCATATCCCAAGTAATTTTTAATGTTCGAGTAGTATTCGGGGAATTATTTTTTTCATTCGAGCGTAGGGCGTATGCTACATCGATAACTTTCGGTATAGTGCTGCGGCTGTGGCTATTGGTAACGAAATAATTATGAAACGGGTTTATTATCACACTCGAAGTTGAAATTACGTACTTCCATTGGTTTAAATTTCGGATTAAAAAAATGATCCGAATACTTTTCTTGTTTCGATATTAATCGGGTATTCCTCCCAAATTTCTTATCCAGAAACGCGTGATAGCAGTTTGGCAACAAATCTTCATACTGTTAATCTTCAAACACATGTCTCTAGGCCACAATATTTTCAGAAACATTCGATAATTTCCAAGCACTCGGGGTATGATGACTAATAATGTGATATTAAACTCATTGTGGCACGTACACGGTACCTAACTTTTCATCTAATTATAGTCGTGTGGGTGTTGCGCCGTGGTTCTTTTACGACACAGTAATACCCAGGTAGGAAATGCCAGTGTTGGAAAAATGGGCCAAGTGTGGCACAAGTCTGGGCTTGCCAAGTCTCGGCACCCAAGTTTGGTCCGAGGAGGGGGAGGGGCGGGTAACCAAGCTTGGGTGACCGATCTAGCCCAACCTTGGGCCAAACATTGGCATGCCGGAGCCCGATAACCAAGCCGCAGCCAGCGGTGACCCGTAGTTTGGTCATTGGGCTCCGACCGTTGGTGTAATGCTCAGGGTTAAGTCGTAAGGGTGAGACAATCCGAATGGAATCATAGGGGTGAAATCATAAGAGTGAGAAAGAGTAAATTTGCAAGGACTAAAAAATAGAAAGGGGTTACAAAATCAAAAGAAAAACATCGTGAGGGTTGAATGGTAATGGTGAATTCTGGGGCGGGGGGGGGGGGGGGCAACATTTTAAAGGTGTAATCGTAAAGATTAAATGTTCATGGTGGCATGGTAGACATTGAAACCTGGGATGAAAAATTTGAGTCTTTTTGGGATCTGGAAGATTCGCGTCTGCGTCTATGAGAGAGTATGTTTCAGCACCAGTAGCCATACTTTTGAGAGACTCTGCGTGAGAGACGCGGCAAGATTGTCGAGAAACTGCTACCGCCGAGCGGCTGTCGGCGAGAGACTCCGCGGGTCTTACATATCTCAATAATTAATTAATCACTAATAACTCCTTAATTTTATTTGAATATATTAATGTAGTTAATTCATGAATTCAATGATTATGAAAAAAAAAGAAATCGGTTCTCGGTCGGCCCGCCGTGTTCCCTTTCGGTCACCCATCTCCTTTTACAGCTCGCTACTGCTTAGTTTAAGGGGTAACGGAACCGTCCACAAAAAGACGTTTACCAAAAACACGTTTTCTTGGATTCTATGCTATGAGAATCAATGAAACTTTTTCCCCGTATTGAGAGTAGCGGAACGCATCGCTCTCTTCTCATGCTTTTCTTATTTATGCATAAAAAATTGCAAATTATTTAACGGCATGGACCAGGGCAAGGCCGACGCCATTTTATTTGTAGGAATCTGCCAAGTCATGGTAGAAAAACCGATTTTTTGTAGATTTTTCTTAGCCGATGGCTATTTTCATGAGAAGAGAGCGATCGAGTGAGATCCAAGACAGAGGTTTTGAGTCCAAAAACATATTTTTGTTGCGTAATTTTCGTAAAAACTTGTTTATGATGATTGGGTGATATCCAGGAGGTAACATGTCCTTTACAGGGCACCAATTGTAAGAGGGAAGTACTTTTACGAGTCAGAAGATGATGTAGAATGTTTCCATACCATTATTATTTATTTATATCCATTTATTTATATTTTATGGGCTTTTGTACTTTTCACGTACAAAATCCAAAAAACCACGGGAACCTGCAATACCGATAGGGGGGACGTCTACGTGCGACGGCTTCCGTTATCCCTTAAGTGATCGTAGGTTACCCCTGTATCTTCTGATTGATTGATTGATTGATTGATTATTACTGTACAGTATGTTGTACAAATAAGACAATATGATGCAAAGTCATACAGCGATATTTTAGCAAGTGAAAAAGATGAATATGAGTAGGCAAGTAGCAGCAAGCCATGTATAAGCATAGGAATATCNTCTACGTGCGACGGCTTCCGTTATCCCTTAAGTGATCGTAGGTTACCCCTGTATCTTCTGATTGATTGATTGATTGATGGTTTATTACTGTACAGTATGTTGTACAAATAAGACAATATGATGCAAAGTCATACAGCGATATTTTAGCAAGTGAAAAAGATGAATATGAGTAGGCAAGTAGCAGCAAGCCATGTATAAGCATAGGAATATCAGAGCACGTAAAATAAATCAGATGTTATATATAACAATAGCACCAGAACTATGGACTCTTAATACTAGGAGTGACAGAAGCGACTGAAGATAATGAAGATGGCGAGGATGGTGAAGATGAAGGAGGATACTAAGATAAGAAAGAATGAAATTTACAAGATAATACAAAGGAATAACTGCTAGGATAGACGAAGAGTTAAGATGTGGTGAGAAAAATTAAGGATTATCCCTCAAGTAGGCACGTAGTGCCAGCTTGAAAGCGGGAAGAGACGGTTGATCTCGGACCAAGCTAGGAAGTACAGCTGCTTGTGGCAGGACAGATGAACAGTGGGGTAATAATATGGGATAACGGAGAGGGAGGCTTGATAAGAGAAACTGCAATGAAAGGGACAATGGGGCAAAATGGGATGCTCGGGTGGAGTGGACCAATTAGACAGGGTAAAATGGGAGAGCAGATTTGTTAGGGTGGGGCAAAATGGGATAACGGGGTGAATTGGAGTAGGGGGATGAATTCGGTAGCGAATTGATTCAATTTTTTAATTTTTAAAATTTTTTTATTTATGGTTCCGTAAATTGAATGATGGAATGAAATTAGATGGTGTGGTGTAAAATTGAACTTCGGAGTAAACAGGATGAGTATGCTATTCACTGTTCAGATTGGGGGGTAAAATGGGGTGAACTACATTGACAGGTTAATTAACCGGAGGGGTAAATTGGACGGCAAAATTAAATACTAGTGGTTAGTGGGATAATCGGGTAGAGACGATAGCGGGGTAAAATGGGTGAGCCTAGCAGATATGAGGGTGGGGTAAAACGTGAATTGATAATGGGATAGTGGGGTTAGACAAAATAAGGGTAAATAACGCTTCAACCCGTTATTCTATCTTACCCCACGACTCACAAACCTCGACCTATCCGCCATATGACATAATCTACTATTTCTTTAAATGATGCTTTTTGTCAATAGCCAGTGCTGGGTAAAATGACCCGACGACCAGCCAAGTTGGATAAAAAGTTGGCTATGGAATTACTAGCTCTCGCTAGTAATGAAGATCCTTACGATACTGTAACTGGGAAGACAATGTGCACTTCTGACTTTTACGAGGGCCAGGGACGTTTGGATGGTGCTTTCTGTGATTACACTGAGCAGGATAAAGTCGACTACCTCAACAAATTGCACAAGAATGGTGTTATTAACATTGAGATGGAGTGCACTGTGTTTGCTGCGCTTACCCATCAAGCTGGCATCAGAGCTGCGATCGTTTGTGTTACCTTCTTGGATCGACTGAAGGGTGATCAGGTAATAAGAAATAAAAATTGAATAATTACGCAGTTATCCAATTTCCCATAAAAATTCAATGATTTTTACTAATAAGAAAAGCAGGATGTGTCGATCTCACGGTAAGGTAATTTTTGGCAAATGTCATAGAACCTGAAAGACAGCTAAATGTTTGCAGCAAGTTATTTTGCAGACTGAAAAGGAAAAAGTTTTGCCGTCATCGTCACATTTCGAGACATTTAGCTAACATTCACACTTGAGTCAAATTGACTAATATTATTTTATTACGTCTCTACTAATTCAATATTGCATTTTGAAATCCAAGAAAATTTTTACAAAATTTCCCAACGATTCGTTAAGTACAAGGAAATAAATTTTTCATCACGCTGTGACGAAAAGTCAACTCAACTCATGAGTTTCTACACATAGAATAATATCTGCATCGACTGAGGCCGATAGGAGGTCCTCATAATGGGCTTGAAGACCTCGGACATTCCAGAATAATATTCGTAGATACTTCGTATTGTTGTTGTATTGAGAATTGTTTGCGTTATCCATTTTGGAATCTATGAAGAGAAGTCCGAGTCACCTTCGGGGCTCATGAGTCGTTTTTTAAACTTAGCGATGAAGGATTTCATTGAGATATCTTCGAGGTGAACATATATTTTACTGAGAAATTTGAAGATAGTGAGAGTGTCCTCTGGATATTCTGTTTTGAATGTGTTGACATTTTTGTCTACTTGCCAGGTGAGGATCATCTGAATGAAGCCTTCATAATTCCAATCGTAAATTTCTGGGTGATCTTCCATTTGTGTTTTCAGTCGAAGAGTGTTTTCGCGGAGGAACTCTTCTGTGTACTGTTTACCTTTCGGTTTTCGTGCCTTATCTTGACTGTTGCTCCTGCTCTTTTGATTGCGCATTTTTCTAACGTGTGCTTTAGGAACAACAAATCCAGTTTCATCTGCATCACCTGGAGTGTCTGTTATTCTTGACAATAGATTATCAATATCTGATTCCAGACATGGTCTCTTGAAAGGGGTTTGAGAAGGGCGGTCGGGGGTGTTAGGAGAGTCGCGGGGTTTTTTGTGGTTCTCATTGGGTGGAGATGGAGAGGGATCAGAATTGATGGGAACCTAAAGGAGATATCGAACTTATTTTGAAGGCTATTTCATTTATAGAACAAAATCAGATCCACAGCGGTTTTTTCCAATTATTTAACTATGTCTCTTACATTTAGAAATATTCATAAAAAATCGTCTTGAAGTATAGTTGATTTATTCTGTTTTAGCCTTTCATTACTCAGTTTTTCATTCAACTACGGAATTTGTGGTTACTTCCCTGCTGTACTTAAATATTGACTATTATTTTATCCGATTCTATTTTTTTACAACAGGTGAATTCTCCTAAAGAAGTATTAGAAGAATGGCAGAAGCGACCGCAGGAACTTGTGGCTCGGTACATCAAGAAATATCTACAGCATAAAGGACGATTATGCTTGGTAGGCCATGGCTCAATGTGCGTGAAGAGTCCACGCCGATTCAAGCTCGTTCAACAAGAGTCCGAGAATTACGATTAAACTGCCCCAACGAGGGTCGCCCAAAACTCATGAAATAAATCCGTTTATTTTTCTTATATCGATCAAGATATCGATGGAACAATTTTTTCGTTTTATTATGCGAATTATTCAATTGCATAACCTGAAATGACGATGATCAATGATGATGTTCTAACCTTTTTTTAACATTTTATTTCTGAAACTAAATAAATAGGAAATTACTTTTACGAAAGACCAGAAATATCACGGCATTCAGAGCTGTCACAATTGAGCCAGAAGTTGATGGTTTTGAATAGCATACTTAACCGAGGCTCAATCACCATGTTCAAGTACAAAAAACAAAAAAGAGAAACAATTTTTTAAAAAATCGTGTTACTGACCATTCTCGGCCACATATCCAATATTTTTTATCCGTTTGTTAAGAGCGAATTGCAAAGATATATAGGAGTTAGAAATGGATAAATGGGAATTATCAGGATCAGATTGTCTGATTTTTTTGCTTTAATTCAGATCCTGCACTTTTGGCCTTTTTCATTTATCTTTTTGTGTCGAATTCGATTTTTTATCAATTGCAGATCCTTTTTGGATTGCTTTGAACAATCCAAAAGGAGTTTTTAGTCGTTTGACATTCCTTTTTGGAATGCCTAACGACCAAAAACATTATCAAATGGAGTTTTAAAAATGTATAATTCAAGATTAAAAATAAGCGGTAGCTGATTAGGCTGAAGTTTACGACGTTTGTTATGAGATGACGCAACTAGTGTCGGTGGCCTACGCAAGTTTTTACGCATTAAAGAACAAATAGTGAGGTAGAAACTCTGTTTCCCTTATTCGTAAATGAATTCTGTATTAACTTGTTCATTATCTTGATCGTTTCCTTCATTCTAATTTCGACCAATCAGATTGCGGTATTCGACGTCATATGGCAACTTCACATTAGTATTATTTTAATAATGCTGCACACGCCTATCAATTGTTTTTCCCGTCATTTGATAGATATTTCCCATATATTCATGCCATGTTTCCCCATAAACACTGCTCTCTGATCGAACGAAACTAGAACGTAAAAAAATAATCACGAATAATCCTCCGAGATATTAAAAATAATGGAGTATTTCCCGATAGCTGCAAATAAGCAAATAGTGTTAAAGTAAGTTTCACAAGAAAAAAAACTACCGGATACGCAACGCGAGAAATTTTCCAGCACATTTGCCACGTACCCAATTATTTTGAAACTCGAGGGGTACTTGTTGGATTATTTTTCACGAATGCATTGCGATTAGTTAGCGTACAGTAGTTGAAATCACAATTTCGAGAATAAATAAAGAGTTAGTGTATAATAAGCGAAAGCCAGTGTGCATTAAGTTTTTCGATGAGACCCTGAAACTGTAAAACTGGATTTCAATCTCCAAAGCGGCGGATCTCTCTCATTGCTATGGAGCAAAACTATCGGGAAATTTCCGATAACTTTGAAGATCTCGGAATAATATAGCCGATAATGGATTAAATAATTTATAACAAGATATCGGAATTCCTTCTCTCTCAGGATGAGAACTCTCTGTGTGTCGGTTGCACCAACTTCGGTCATCTAAATCCTCTGTTAAAAGTCAGGATAAATTGTAAAATAATCTAATGTTAATTTCGAACCTGAATACAAAGTCAATCAAAGAAGACTACCAAATGGAAAGGAAAGACTACTCAAAATGACTAATAGTGTTTGGGGTAACCGGCCCTAGAAAGATAGTATTTTGGCGATTTCGACTCAAATTATAGATTACTGAGAGAGCATTGATTCATGATATTTACTCCTTCAGGGCATAAATGAGATGTCATTACCTTGTTATTGTGATCTTAAATAACAATGAAAATTAGTGAATATATTGAGTGCACTTGCAGCTTCTCCGGTGCCATGAGAATTTAAACATTCATTATTTCAAATGTTAGAAATAGCTGATTCACCATTCCAACACAATTCCAAATATTTATCTTTTATTTTAAAAATTTCCTAAAATTCTGAGAATGTAATAAATGATTCAATAACTAAAAATGTAATATTTTGTGGCGAATTAAAAATGAATTCCTCAAATAAAATTATTCCTATCAATATTTTATCTCTAAATATTGAATTATAGATGTAGCTACAGAAAAGAAAAATCAAAAAATGAAAATTCAGCTTTCGAGCTAACATAAAATGTTGTGGAGACAATTAACGACGAACAATTTGGGTGCTTTATATAACTAAGAAATTAAACCACAGGAGGAAGAAGATTATAAAAATTCTTCAAAATGAGATAAATTGTTAATCGTGATATTGTGCATTGTCTTCTCATAAAATAAATGTTTGTTGAGCATAGTTAGAATGCCTGTACATATATACATATTAAATACGTACAATATATACATGTACGAAAGAAAATTGAACCAAAAAGATCGGTTGGAGTCACTTTTCTTGGCCAAATCCTCAGTAATAAAATTCGGAATGAAATCAAATGATGTAAGGGTTAAGTACACTCCAGATTGAATTTCGAACGCCATCTTCTTCTTAGCACCAAACGATAACATTACAATTGTTAGAATTGTTTTTCTCTTTGTAAAATAGCACTTGTACGCATACATTAAGCTCAGCTATTATGGCTTCATTCACTTTGAAAGATATAAAAAATCACTCAAAATGTTCCATAAAATTTATAATTCACATGACAAAATTCAGATGTTAAATTCACTTGAGAATCGCATTCAAACACTTGCATATCACTTGAAAACCTTATGGTTGAAATACTTACTCAAATAATTAGATCAGTTAATTTTTCACCCTCGAGATCTTTAATGTCTGACGATCGATGGCGAACTATGCGTTATGACACATCCGGTGCGTCCGCGCTACCTCGACGAATGATTCAAGTGTTTATGTTATGGGGTTGACATATGATGTATCTCATTCGAGAGTAATCCAGTATGATCCAAAGATGCATTGAATAATTTTAGATAATTGAAAAAAATTAATCTCTACCTAACTATCGTCTTTAGTATATTAAATGTCTCATTTTTCCATAAAATGAGAAAAACAAACTTTTTGGTAAATTTTTTCTGACAATGGCCATAGAAATAATCTAAAGACAATAGAGTAATTATTGAATGATTTCTGAATATTTACCTTACATTTGTTTAAATTATTTTGGAATGATCTAGAATTTGTTCGGTAAAGTAAATTTCGAATATACTTATCTGTCAACCTTGAATCGGTCGCATATTCTCACTCAATCCAAGGGGTATCAAATTACTCACCAACACAACCGTACACTATTTTTCAGTAATGTTCGAGATACAATTATGCATTTCAACGAACATCAAGGACAGCCGCCAGTTACGTCGATTCTACGAAAAGTTTTTTCAGAACAGTTGAGGATGATGCCGTCTAAAAAAAAGAATTTTCTAGAAGATTCTACAATATTATTGATAACATGTACCGATCCCCAGAACAGCCGTTAGGAGAAATACGGTATGTGATTGGTCAGAATTCTCACGACTAGGCTGGCCTCCAGTATGTGACATGGCGGCACTGCTAAGAGGTCTCAAAATAGCGTTAAAAAAGTGGTATTTTTTTAACAAGTTAAAAAAAGTGTACTTTTTTAAACTACTCTAGAATACACCCAAAAAGAACCACTTTACATACGAAAAGTAGTGAAACAAAGTGGACTTTTCCATACACGTATGTCAAAAAGGCACTTTTCGGCATGAGGTGAACGTAGCTGCAGTGTCAAAATAGTATATTTCGTTACGAGTGCAGAAAAGAATTTATGTCGCGCCGTGCAATAAGTCGAGTTTATCGCACGTTGCGCTTCGCGCAGCTTGCTCAAAACTCGACTTCTGCACGACTTGATATAAAATATTATAGAGCACTCGGTAATAAATTTCGTTTTCAACGAATGTGTGTACAGACCTCGCCTTCGGCTCGGCCTGTAAACTACACATTCGTTGAAAACGAAATTTGTGCCCTTGTACTCTAATGTACTATTTTTTCTCGCCTTCGGCTCATGCTATAAACCTCCCACGAGCCAAAAAACACTTTTCCCGCGAGTATCGAACGATATTTTTCATCACAATGTGTGGAAAGGGACGCTTTAGGCACGCGAAGCGTGCCTAAAAAGTTACTTTTTTGCACAGCGTAATGAAAAAAAAATGAATGTTTATTTCAATGTTTGACCGGTCCATCAAAATTTAGGATCATTGCAACTGTACACGTTACATAGTGTCCCTTGTGCTCTATATGAATGTTAGAGATTATATTTAAAACTGTGGAAGATTTGATGGCTCAGGTAGGAAGCTAGTGTTGGTAAAACGGACTAAGTCTGGCACAAGCCTGGATTTACCAAGTCTGAGCGCCTAAACTTGAACCGAGGTTCGGCCATCCCTACGGACCAGGGCTTGAGTCTTGGGGGACAAGCCGGTAACCGAGCCTTGGTTCACAGATCTGGCCCAGCTTTGGCCGGTATGACAGCGCGCCATGTGACAGTGAGCATGTCACTGAGTGATGTCTCATTTTTATTCGCCATCAATACATCGATGGCGGACTTCCAAATGGTCTGAAATATTACAAAAGTTTATAGCTTCACAACATCAACTGGTAACAACAATTTCAGACAGTTATACTGCCACCTCCATGAGTGCTATCAAAATTCCAATGTTTCGAATACTTCGTATAAACGGGTATACATATTTTCTATCCAAATGTCAAGTTGATATCTCGATTTTTGCTGAGTGTTTACAAAGATTTTTATTATGAAAAGCGGAAAAACGGGAATATCTCGAAAACTTTGTATGAACTGGTATGTTTTGATTGATCTAGACAAAAGGCACTGAAACGATTGTTTTGAAAAAAAAAGTGAAATCGGTTGCGTAGTTTTAAAGATATTCCATGTATAAGATTTTCAGAAAAAATCGAATATCTCTAAAACTACTCATGCGATTGAACCCATCTTCAATACGAAACATTGTTATCATGAGAGGAAGATTCCGTTCGAATTTCAAGTCGATATCTTGATTTTTGCATAAGCTAGAGCAAAAGTTTACAAAGTTTTTTTTAATGAAAAAATGAAAAACGGGAATATCTCGAAAACTTTATATGAAGGAGCATATATATTTTGATTGGTTTAGATAGGAGGCATCGAAACGAATATTTTAAAAACGGAAAAATCTAAATAGGTCAACTAGTTTTGATTGAAGCTGTTTGCGGAAAACGATTCAAAACCGAATCGCTTATCCTCCAAAACTATTAGATCCATTAGGCTGAAATTTTGCCCAGACTTGGTCCTCATTAAGAGCTATAATCTGACAAAATTTTAGATTTTTTGGTATTACTTTAGCCACTTAATTACTCAATTTTCTAAAAATTGACCACCGGTAAGGTGGCGGTGGATGTGGTCACATACAGATATGGTCCCCAAATACCAGATATGGTCTAGATCATTTCCAATCAAAATTAGAGAATTTGAAAATGAAAGGATTGCAATGCTTCCATTCGGAAGCAAAAAATCGAAACAATTGAATGAAGAAACTGGTCGTATCTGCAGACAAATACGGCATTTTATTCACCACGATGTAATACAAATTACAATTCGGTAGGGAATTGTACTTGATTAATCATTACATAGCTAATGCAGTATGGTAATTTCAATTTCATTATGTTGTTTCATTTAACTATAAAAATTTTTATTCGCAATGTGATAAAATTATTACTACAATATAGTGCTCAGAGTAGTCAAGACTATTTTTTGTCAATCAATCCTGCAGTTAATTTGAATTTATTGGAACGAAAAAAATTTGTGATAGTGTACAAATTTTGTTTGTTCACATCTTTTTTTCGTCGGGGTGAACGATGGAGGCAATGGGCTTGCAAAGGGTGAGTATTTAATTCAGCGAGCAAGATCAGCATAAGTATCTTCATATCTATAGAAATTTATATCTCTTCTTGTTATTTCATAATATATTTTCTCACATAAGAATTATCAATTTAACTCTGTTTTTTTCAGTTCCAGTGGAAATCCTTTATATTAATTCCGTAGTCCATGTTACATCACATAGTACACGTTTTCGTATTCCATTCATGCAATAATAATAGCCAAGTTATAACGATACAATGATAAATTGATACTAGTAATAATTAATGAATAATTGCAACCATTCTCCGATTATTTTGGTTATAGAAATGCTCAAAGAAAAACACACGTCCACGATTATACGTTGAAAGTGTGGCAGGCCTTTCATTGTTCGTGTCAATTACCTCCTGGTTGAAAAATTGTAGATTTTTTTAGTTTTTACTCATTACTTATTGTTGGAACGATTAAAGGAAGTTGTATCTACTTAGTAGTTAATTTATTACAAATTTAGTGATTATCATTCTGGAAGTAGAAATATTTTTCATCATCTTTAATTGCACTAACGACCGCTGAAAATTTAGCAAGTTCCACCACAAAATTGGATCATAATTCACAACGTTGTTTTTCTGCCTGGGATTTATGACCTTAAAATTTAATTTAACCCTAGATTGGTCACCCTATGAGCGAAACCCCACCGCGCGTTGTTTTTCGTTAATTTTTAAATTCCCGATCTATCGGGTAGTTATAGTAATGACCCCGGAAATCGAATGTGGAATTCTCATGATTTGTCCACGTTTCTTGACGTTTAGAATCATTTTCAACGAATTTTGAAGACATGTTTGTGTGTGTGTGTATGTAAACAAAATTTTGCCCGACGATTACTCTTGAAAGAATGATATGATTCAATTTTTTTTGCAATGGATGCATCTTTGTGTAACTTAGAACTGATTAGTTCGTGAAGACGATCGGCTCAGCGGTTCTTCAGTTATTCGCAAAAAACATGTGAAAAAACGCCAAAAATTACGTTTTTTTCACTTATTTGATGATTTTTCCAGTGGAAATGATGCAATTTGGATTGTTCTCCATACAATCGATGAATCCTCGTATGCAGTAGAACAAAGTGGATTTTTAACAAAATCGACTCAGGCGTTTCCCAGTGATTCTAAAAATAAAACTTTTGGAACATTGATTTTTTTAACTTCCCGACCCGAAGGGAGGAAGTTATTGTAATGACCCCGAAAAACGAATGTGGAAATTTCATGGTTTCTCCACGTTTCATGACCCTTATAAACTCTCCCGACCCTTTTGTTGGAAAATGTTGGAAAATTTTGAAGTGGGTCAACTTTGAAGTTGGAAAATTTTGAAGTCGGTCAACTTTGAAGTTGCAAATTTTTAAGTGGATCAGCTTCGGAGTTGAGAGAATTTTGAAGTGGGTCAAGTAAAAAGTGGGTTTAACTCAAACTTGATTGAAGTTTGAGTTAACTTAAATTGCAAATGCGTTCTTTGTAAAATTGTAATGCCACAATGGATGCAATGCTAAACGCATGCAACGCATGAAATAATTATCCAACTGTTTTCCAAATATTTCTGACAATGACTAGCTTTGCGTATAGCATGCGCCGCATTCACTGTGGCATGACCCCAGCGTCAACAAAAACAAATGGTTGGGAAGTTATTGGTTCGACCCGTAATGGGTCACACCCAATTCCACCAACCCCTACTGGTCAGACCCCAAAGAGGGAGCGCGCGAAGCTCCCGACCGGGCCTGATTTTCTTTAATTACAATTGACTGGCTAACCGAAAAAATTCAAACAAATTTGACTTTGTCAATTAAAATGTCTAAAAAATTAGAGTCGTTTTTAAAACAAGATATTTATCAAAATTTCTAAAGAAAACAAATTATTTCGAACAGATGAATTATTTTTTCCCATGTTAAATGAAATTGCCCATGCCAGCGACGTTGCCGGAAACTCGCCTAACGCGCCCGGGCAGCGTAGAGTGAATTTGGCAAAGCTAAAGCCTAAATAACGCGGCGGGGAATTCCCGCGGAGGTGACCAATCGCAGTGACGCGTTTGGTGATCAGACTAGGGTTACACCAAGACTTATAGATTAGACTATAAGCCTTGGGTTACACAATTTACTGCGCAATGCACATATCACAGAGAATGTAGCACAATTTTTTAATCGATTATCTGTGTTATATTGATTTCAAATTCAAATTTTCATCATTTTCTCAAAAAATTAAGGATTGTGACTAATAAAAATAATTCCCAAATTTTATGCGAACTTTATTTTAGCTACGCTAGCTCGAAATTTAACCTGAAAATTCGTGAAGTCGTTTTTTCAATTTAAAAATGACGAAAAATCAATACTTCGCCTTCTTTCTCTTGTTCTTTTATTATCCATTACTCTCCATAAAGATGATCTTGTATGAAACATAACTCAACACTTATTTAATATCTTACTGTTAAAAACTTACTAAACGTACTATCACAAACTTATTCAAAATAAATCGATAAAAAGTCGAAGAACTTAATATTTTTTAGTTCGTGATAAAAAATATTTGTGGAGTTCTTCATTCCTTTCAATTGAATGATGAAGAAAAATGAGAGAGGCTTAATACCACCGGTGTAAGGATCGATAAGCTCTCAGTACGATCACTCGTTGTTATTTTCAATGAAAACAAGTTGAAGAGTTTCTCCTTGTGGGAATAAATTGAAATACCCTTGTTTTATTGGATTTCTCCAATATGCTAGACTCATCGCATAAAATGGTGATCAGAATGACTGTATTTATTTGTTTAGTGCCCTTGACATAATTACCATCAATTCTATAGTTCTCAATTTTTGCTTATAATCCACTCCATTCCCCCTAAATTTGGCACACAATTTGCAGCACTTCATTACTTGGTAAGAACACTGAGATTTCGGTTCCACAATTGTAGGTTTTAAATAGAAAATACATGATTAATTTTCGTTTTCTCATTATAGAGATTTTTTTCAATCGTAATTCTTATAGTTTTTTTTCTTCCGATAAATTCGATTGAACTTATCCATTGATTGAGCTACGGAATTTAGGTATATTAAACTTTTTTTTATCGAAACATAGATATTGTCCCACAAATTTCGGAATTGTTATCCTTATTCTTGTCATATTTCATCTCTTATTTCAGAATTTCAATCATCTCGCTATTTTAAAACCGAAGAGAAGTATCAAATTTATATTTCGCGAGTGCTGGAGAGTTCTTATAACATGATTAACGGTGCAATAAAGGTGTTTATTTCCGCATTAGATAGTATCGATACTTCTCCCCAGCGTGCATTCTTCACCTCATGAGAACCTTCAACGTTATCCTGCACCCACATTGTCCCTTATATTTTCTATATCATTTATATACAAGACTAGATTCTTAATTAATAATTTCATCTGCCCCAATTATTAATAAATGATTCATGAAAGAGACAACAATAATCCAATGAATTTTCTAAAACAGTGTTCAAATAAATTGATTAAATGCATTTAAAAGGAATATAAATGAAAAAATCCATCATTCATGGGGCAGAGAAAATGAGCATAATACAGAATATGGAGTATTTTTTCATAATTATAAATAAATTGTAAATTTCGGTTAATCAAACACTGAATGTCTGACAATTGGATTTCAATTCAATAGTGAAATGCAATTTATGCTGCAAACATATCTGAAAAGGGGTTTCATAGAGAATTGTCAGAAGACTTTTTTCATAGACAATTTTATGAACTACAAAAAGAACCTTCCGCCATTAATTGATGAACGTACTCTTCTCAGGGATATCTGCAAGATAATCTGTGAGAAACTTTTGGCTACAAAATTTTTCTACTTAGGAAATTTGCTGTCCCATTTTCTAACTATCAGTCCATTAAAATTTTACTGCGACGAACAAATGTCCTCCACTCGTCTTCCTTGTGTAATAATTCATGCAGAATTTATTGCACTTGACTTTCAATCCCATTTGTTCATAATACAAGTAAATGTAAATTGAAAACTCTAAGGAAGCTCTTTTTATCCGCACGATTCATTTTCTCCTAATGCCTCTGATTGTCATGTGATAACATGGAATGTATCTTCGGTGTCTTTTTCTTGTTTAAATACCAAAAAAATTAATGAAATTGAGGAATTATCTCGGTATGCGAAAAATATGCGAAATTCAAATATTATCAGTTATTCGATAAGTAAATAAAGGAACAAAGCGAAGAGAGAAATATTGTCACGAATCGTTGACCAATGTTATTTCTTGACCATTGATCGAAAAGACAAACAAGGAATGAAATGTGTGTCATTCGATCCAAAGTTGGAAATACCAACGTTCGATTATTGTCAATCTACGGGAGTATAGTTTTGTTCCTTTATTTTACCCAATTCGAAAAGTGAAATATATTTCTTTCCTCGGTATCAGAACTAAAGGGTTTCCTTGTGTGTTGGTTTCTTTGTGTACTCTCCTCACAGAAATCATAGTTTCAAGGTTTTTTATTCTTTTGTGTTTACTCCAAATGGAAGATGTTGAGAATTATTTTTCGATCAATTTTGCAAGGAGAAATGTTGGGAGTGAGTCAGACACGATTTTTCATGTTGAGGGCATAAATTTTTGTTCTTGGTGTGATATTGTTTACATTGACAGAGGCATATCATCACATCGATGGATGAAGCCATGTTGGCGTCATCCTGCTGACTCATCTGGCAAGAGAATGCTAACGGATTTGCGAGATGATTGACTTCCGCCGGATGCACTCGTTGTTAAGGTGGAGGATGGACGATGGGATGGGGCTATAACGCGCACTTCTGGTCGGGGTGATGACTCGTGATGTGGAGAATTCTTTGTATCGTCGGAGGTGGTTATCAGAGTCACTGGAGGCCTGAACAAATTATGTTTAATGATCAGCAAGATATAGACAATGTTTTAACGAATTGATTTTCCGGTGAAGATACGCAAATGAGATAAGTCAACAAGCTGAAAGTTAGTTTTCAGTAAATTTTCCAGAATCTAGGGTAGGTTTGCTGATTTTTATTGAAACTTTCTTACTAGAGCAAAGAGAGAGCTGCAAATAAGTCTATAGAAACTCCGCACTTCTCAGACTTTCGAGATGTTTTCCAATACCTAATTTTGAAGTGAAATTAATTCATCTCTTGTTACCACCTCACTACTTGAATATTTTTCCAGCACATCGGCATATGGAGAATATGAAAGTGAAAAAGAACTTGAAAGACGGAATAACGTTTTTTCCAAATGCAGAAAAGTAATAGTTTTTAATCAACAATATTGTCAACTTTGATTAAAGAGGAATTTACATTTTAACGAAAGTTTCTTTTCCCAGAGTCGAAAATAAACAAATTATTACTTTGCTATGCCAAGTAAAGACAAACAATATTTTTCCTATGAATTGAAGAATTTAATAAACACGGTAACAAAAATATTCTGGAATCGGGTATATAATATTCCGGAATCAGGAATATGTGTATTCCAGGATCCGGAATATTATAATCCGGAGTCTGGTATATTATATTTCGGAACCTATACGGAAAAATATATATCCTGAAAATTATTTATTTTATGTATGGAATCCGCCTGATTTATATATAAAAGTTATATAAAAGATGAATTTATATATGTTTCATATATATTTTATGTAAATCTTATATATATCCGAAGAATATATTAAATTGGCCTGTATTACATATATTTCTTATATATTTTTCGGCATGGCGGGCGGAAAGGACACATTTTCCTTCCCCTTCGCGGGAGAAAAATCTGCCTTTCCGCCTACGCCGTGACGAAAAATAACGTTCTCACCACGGGGGGTAAAATAGAGGACCCTTGCCCACGTGCTTACCACGGCACGACTCCTTTATTTTCCCTCCCTTGGTGGGAAATATACTATTTCGATGGGAGAATCCGGAATATTTCATTCTCGATTTCGGTGACATCCCCGGGGGTTTGTCGATTTTTCAAAGGGTAAAGGGAGTGTCGTGAGGCAATTTAGGATAATAAACTTTTGGTCGTTCGCAGTATTTGGGGTGCAGACATTTTTTTCCGTATGGAAAAATGAAAACTTGCGTTGTTCACCTTCTCAATAGACTTTTAAAAAATTTTCATTGAATTTTATCATTGAAAATTCATGATTTTTGTGGAAAAAACCATGGAAATTGCAAATTTCAATTGAATTATTCCATAAAAATTATTGAAAAGGAGGAAAAATTAGGGAAAAATATCCTTGAATTTTCATTTCCTGGAAATTTCAGGGAAATTTCTCATTGAATTTTCATGTCCGTGTTGGAAATTCATGTGCACTATGGAATTTTCCTCTTTTTTCCACTCATGAATCAGATATCTCCTTGAATTTTCATAGTTCAGGGAAACTTGAAATTTCATAGACTTTCTTCCGTTAAATTGAATTTAGTGTCATTTCCCGGAAAATTTAGATATTTTTTTCAACAGTGTACTCCTTTGTACCATTTCCAGGGGTTTGCCGATTTCTGAGAGGGGGAAGGGAATGTCTTGAAACATTTTCAAATGACAAACGGGGTGAAATTTTCCCTTGCAGATTATTCTACGAAAAACTGAATTTTTTGTATTTTTGAGTGAAAAAGAAAACATTTAAACTCCAAATACTCAAAACGGGTGAAAAGTTTTTTAACGGAAAATACCTCACAAAACTCCCTTCACTCTCTGCAAAATCGGCAAATCTATGGAAATAGTACAAAGGGGTATTGAGAGGGTGAAAAGCTTAATTTTTCGTATTTTCAAACGGAAAAAAATATCTGCACGCCAAATACTCCGAATGACCAAAAGCTTGTTGTTGAAAAATATCTCACGACACTCCCTTCACTCTCTGAAAAATCGACAAACCCCTGAATAGCACAATAGCAGAAAAGAGTATTGGAAGGGTGAAAAACTCGATTTTTTGTATTTTTAAACGGAAAAAACGGTTAAACGCCAAATACTCTAAATGATCAAAAGTTTGTTATCGGAAATTGTCTCACGACACTCGCTTTACTCTCTGAAAAATCTGCAAACCCCTGGGGATGTCTCCGGCATCCAGAATAAAATATCCCGGATTCAGGAATATTATTTCTGATTCCGGAATATTATATACCCGATTCGAGAATTTTTTTTTCCGTGAATGTGCAAGGAAGATGGAACTGTTGAATTTTGAATAAAAATAGCCTTAAGCTTGGTTGCACCAAGCCGTGTTAGCCAAATACATCGTCAGAATGAATTTATGTCTGAAGTAAATTTATTCCTCACTTGAGGAATTCTAGGAATTCGTCGTAGAGTGGTTTTATCCGGCCATTCAATCGTGAATATTGACTAAATAGTTCATAATTAGTGTGATTATTGGTAAATAATGATGAGACATTGGTACACCACGTTTTTTGGTGAAATACCTTTGATGAACTTTTCATCAAAATTAATCGGCAGATTATTCTTATTTACTTTTATTGATACTTAACTAAGGATTTCCTCAACTGGGCTTGGTGTAACCGGGCCTTAAAGAGGAACAATGTTCCTGGGAGAATGACCACATAAGCATCATTACAATGGTCCAGATTGAAAACTATTTCACCTCAAGCAAAATATCCAGATGACTTTAGAGATCATTTGCTACTATGTTAACACGGTAATTTTCTATCAGTCCTGAAGCAAGAATGTTTTTAATAGCTACGAAATTATAGTGAAGTGGTAAAACTAGTGAGCGTCAAACATAAATTTTCATTGGTTCTATTATGCGGAAAATGAGTGATTTTAGGAGGGAAATAAAAAAGGCCGGTTTTAAAGCTGAGAAAATTACCCGTGAAAGATGTATGTCAATGATTTCTTCTAAATTGACTCATTAACAAGATAATCTTGTAATTACGCAGGCGTGACATCAGAATAATTCAGAATAAAACAGAATAATTCAATCACTTGAATTTTTTCTAGCCATTCTCAAAATCGTTGCAATTTGTTCCGACATACTGATAGAAATAAACTGATTCGACAAATTTAACTATGCAGACGCGCCGATTACATAAAATAGACACTTCAAACTTCCGCCAAAAACTGTTTATTTGACAAGATGAACCACTGACAATAGCATTTTACTTAATTTAAAGAGAGTTTTTCTCATAAATACCTGTGTTGAGGCGGTGGCGTGGGTGTTCTTGAGAGGGGGAAGCTAGCAACCTCTCGGGTCACCGAGAGGGATCGGATCGATCCAAAGGTCTGATCCGGTGACATATTCGCTCCCACACTCTGTACCATGCCACTACTGAAACAAATGTTAATTAACAATTAATAAATAGGGACTATGGAATCATTTAGTTTACTTATCTATATAATCCTCAGGATATAAACACAGAGCAAATAGTTTATAAAATTTATAAAGAAATGGATAGAATTAGGAAACTCCTCGTAACATACATCATTCGTTGGATGATGAAAACAAGCGTTTTTTTGTAAGAAAAATGTTCTAGAGTGAATGTTTATTTATTCTTTTTTCAGCAATGTTTCGATTGAATTTAGGAGTATCTTCCTAAAATCACTTCCCTTTCATTCTAGTTTTGAGGAAATTTTAATTAAAAAAAAACAATCCAATAAAATAAAATACCCTGTAATTTGAAAAATTCTGATTATTTGTTTATCCTCCCATAAAAATCCTGAAATTTATCATAATTTCTTTCATACTATCTGTTTCTAGAAATAAAAAAATGTCTAGATAAGAGAGAATTGCATGTTAGAAACTATGCTTTCTAGAATTCAAAAGTTCTCGAATTTAGAAAATTGTGACGTTGAATTATTCGGAGTTCCTATGAATAATTAGACATTTTTTTACAGAATTTAGAATTGTTATCGGTGATCAATTTTACCTATTTTTGAAGTTCACTTTTCGCCACAACGTGATGAAAAAATATTATTGTTCGATCGCGAGTATTAGACGGATTCTATACGACCGTTCTCGATCAAGCATTACGAATTGACCGGTGATTGACTAGCGTTCGACTAGGTGAACAACTACACCCCTCTATTGACTGACTTGTCAGGGTTTTGCCGATCCTTATTCAAAAACTTGAAAGATTTTCGAATTTTGAAATAGTTTTCCGTTTCCATAAAAATTTGTTCCGCGAATTCTTAGAATATCCGAGATGGCTTGACATGTTCACAACAAGTAGATGCTTTCCCACGACATTAATGACTCGATATAAACAACTTGAAAGTTCACCACCAAAAGCTTACTATTTCCATAAGAATGTATTTTTCTTATCGCGTGTGAATATCGAAACGTGTTGTTAGATCCGGCGTTGGTACACACGCTAAAAGATTACCATCAACTCTTGCAGTTTGCGTTGATTAATAGTCCCCCTCGTGGGCTCAACTATGCCCTCCACTTTACTTGCAATTAATGTGTAAATATTATACTGCGAATAAAAAATTGAGATTGTGTTCTGTATTCAATACATCCTTGGCCTGTGTCGGGACCGATGGATTGGGGGAAGTTGGTATTTTTTTCATAAATTATAATGAGGTAAGAAAACAAAAATTGTTAAATGGAGTCGGTATTTACCCGAGTCGAATATTTCGTCCTGATTTAACCTCTGAAAGATATTCAAAACCTTTTCTGGCCTTCGACCGATTTTTTCGAAGACCTTTTAAATTCTAAGTTTGTCTTCTGACTCTATGGAATACTTTTTTATGAAAACCTATAAAAATCTAAAAACCTCCAGTAATTCTCCTCTAGTTATACTTTTTAAATAAATAATTTGCTGGAATTTTGCAATGAAAACATCAGAAAATTATGGAGATTCCATTCATAATATTCTTATTCATTAGTAATTACTTTTCATTTAGCGATAAACGAATCTTGATATTGACGTGGATAGGGGTCTGTTACGCGAATTCTTGGAAAAACCTGGAAACCTCCTAAACAGAATATAACTAAAATAATTAAGCCGTCGTTCTCCGGACTTTTCAGGTCGAAATATTCGACTCGGGTGAACGGTGGAATAATTTAACTCAAACGAGGAACGTTCATTAATTATGCATCCACGTCTGGAACAAGTGGTTTCTACGAAAAATGTCAAAGGACTTTGTGAAGATGAGAATATTTAATCATCCCAAATCGCGCATTAACGATCTCATTTTATAATGAATTTATTTTAACGAGATAATTTCGTAATCAATGAAGTAATGAATTAGAAATACGTATTATTCCGGATAGCTATGAATTAATTTCATTAATTGTGCCTGTCATAAGTTATACCAAATGATGCACTAACCGCACAGCGTCCCGTTTCCCTAGAAAATGGTTAGTAGTCATCACACGTTACTTATCGAATTCCGGATTAACTATAATTGAGTATTTTAACCCCTATAATGCTTCGAAAGTTCAATTTAGGTACTCATATAGATGTACGTGAAGGTTCTCCAACTTCACCTTCCTTCTGAAGGCAAATAATTTCAATAAATTACTGAATTGAAGTATTCATCTCAAATCCAATTCATTCTGATGTTTTTTTTTAATGAACGAAATGGCGAGTTTGTAATCGATATGTATTACAAACTACCCATTTATCTTATAGCTACATCAATACCTTTCATTACCATCAACATGATTGATAATCAATGAAAACCTTGCTATTGGCGAACATCTATACATATAGAAATCCATAAATATTTTCCGAGCCAAATTGAGGACACATTAGAGACTATTTCTAGACAAATAGTTTCCTCAATTTTCTTATATTCAGTTCTATATCCCGCACCTCAAGATGGAATATAAAAAATAAAAGTCATTCTGAATGTCGGTAGAGAAGATAAAGGGAAAGTGGTGGCTTGAAGTAAGTGAATCAAGAAAATGATTGAAAATACGAGAGAAAATGGAGATACAATGTAGATTGTATGCAAACTCGTGTTGACTCTGTTGTCCACTCGAGAGGAACAACTTCCATACGTCTATGTCAAACACTGGGCAAACGGTAGAATGCATAATAACACGCAAGGACGAGACCGGGAGGCTATTCTGGAAGTGAGATAGTGTGGTTGCATGACGATTCGTCGCATGCGGCCCATGATATGTACCTCGAGTCGCATACAACCCATTCGAAGTTGAACATTCGCTTTCAACTCTAGAGTGAAATATTAATATGATATTCAGAAATTACTTGGTAGATTCTACATAGGAATAATGACAATATGGAGAGGCAAAAAATTTAATCGGATCTCAAATGATTTTGCTGCCGAACACTCTGGTTCAGCCAGAGTAACGCTCAATCTCACCATGCGCTAACATTTTTTGCAAAAATATCTCACGTATTTCAGCCGACAACAAGAAATTCTGTGTTATGGGCAGCACTCGCCATATGGGACCCTAGTACTAACAATCATTTCATCATTAATTGATAATAGCGTGCACGTCTACAGTAGCAATTGACCGTCAGTACGAATTGGAACCATTACATTTTTCAAATCCTAAATGGCCAGGTAAACAGTACAACCTTCAGTTCACAAGCGTATAAAGAATTGACAGGATAACAACTGTCAAATGATAGAACAAAGTGGATAACTTTAGGTAGATTCTACCGCTTTGTGATGGATATAGCTCCAAATTAATTATACATTAGTTTTAGGCCATACTTTTAGATACCCTTAGCTTCCGCTACACAATATTTATAGATAAGAGAATTGACAAAAAAATGAGTTAATGACTAACTCTCATTCTTTATGATTTCCACTTATGATGGAACGAATTTAGTAACCAAATGTCAAACCGCAATAATCATCATCTCGACACCGAGTGATTTCAGGAAAAAATGTGGATAATACTATTTTTCTGGGCCATTGCGATGGGATTTTTTCACTCATATGGAGTTGGCGTCCGAAACGAACGCGAAGACTGGCCAACCACCCGAGTAAAAAAAATATCGCAATAATCCGGGACAAGATATTCTGTAGTGATTATCAAGTTTCTGAGTTTGGGAAGAATGCAATACCAATTTCCAGACGAAGAATCGTAACAAGTAATACAGAAAACTCATTTGTTGTGGTGCTTGCCTCAAAAGTTCACTTTTTGAAACGATTTAGAGTGCGTAAAGTGCGTGTTTTACACACAGCGTGCGTAAAGTTCAGAGGTCGTGCGTAAAATGAATTTTCGAAGCTTTAAGCACTCAAAATTCACGTTACGCACGACCTTGAACTTTATGCACTTGTAACACAATATACTACACGAAGAGAAATGGTCAGTAAAAATTACGGAACTCACAATTCGCTTACCGATTACGGAATCGACTCAGAAAATTGAAGTGACGGTATCGTAATTTTTTACAGGAGATGCAGCTAAAAATTACGAAACGCTCTGGAAAACTTCCGTGACAATTCCGTTAAATTTCCTACAACCACATTTCGCTCCGGAATTACGGGAAAGATACGTAATTTTTATTGAATATTTCTCTCCGTGTATATAGCTAGAATAATTTCCAACAAAACGACATATTGACGTTTTCCCTGAAATCCCGCATCTTCAAGATAATACTATATTTGAAGAAATATGGAAAATTCATTCTACTTTTTTGTCACTTTAATACTCAATTCTGTTATCGATAGTAATATTTGAGAGAGTAAGGTATTGCTCTGGTGGATATCCAAGCTAAGCAACATCAAACGTGGTTAATACTTCATTGGGTGACCATTTATGAACACCCTTGGCACAAAAATTGATCACGGCAGACACGGGTGTTAAGGCATCATAGAGTATAGTATGTTAACGGATGTAGTGGTCCAGAGCCTCCGTCTAGTCAGTGTAATGAAAAAGTTTACTGGGACTCCGAACCATTAGGCTGTTGTACGACCGGGTTTTTGTGTAATCACTGAGTACTCGTATATAATGTAATAGAATTAGAGGGAAAATTGAACCCATGCCAATGCAGGGGAAGGGTACCAAAACGTAAACACCCCGGAAGCTATACGCAAAACAGAAGATGGAAAAAAACTTATTCTATTTGATCTCCTTTTTCCCATAAAATTACCTGACTGAATTGGAAGTAACAAGGAATGGCATTGGCGTTGGACACGGACTGAGAGGTGAACTGCTGAGAGAACTCCGCGTACTACTCAAGATCGAGTGAGGACACTGGGGTGGACCGACGTGGGAGCCGATAAATCCAGTAGTACCAGATCTTCCACTAGAACGGTTTTTAAAGCAGGAAATCTTCGCCCAACGACCCGCTTCTTTTTGGGAAACACCTGTAACAAATTTATTCGAGAATTGCGTTCATATGATTTACAGGCGAGGGGAAAGGGTAACAAGTCGAGCTTTCGGGCGGGAAGTAATCAGTTTTACCGTTTTCTCCGGATGCAAAATTTCAACTTTCCTTTGCAGGTGTGTTCAAAAATTGGATGTGCTCCTCGCGTGGGAAAAACATCTCTGGGTGTACAATGTACTATTACAACACGCCTGCAGAGGAAAATTTATGTTTTGCTTTCTGAGCAATGGACGAAAAATGAATACTTTCACCCAAGGGGCGGCAACTGGGCACTTTCCTCCTGCTCATTAGAGATTAAACTACTAACGTGACGTGCATGTGTGTGGGAAAAGAATATCACGAGAGACTTTCGGAAGTACTTACCAAGCTTGCTAATCCCTTGGATCGGCCTCAACGGATAGAAATCACCATGCAGAGGACAATGGAAGCCCACTCTTCTTTCTCTCCTTCTTGCACGCCTCGTTAACATGCAGAGCAGCACACCGAGGCCAAGCATCAATAGCCCGATGGCGATGCAGATCGGCCCCAAAATTCGAGAATTTCCAGTGAAGGCGATCCTTGCAGCATAAGAGTCTTTGTCCTCATCTTCTCCAGGTCCTCGATAGGAGGCAGCTAGGCACACAAAAATAGTATTAATCCAATGAAAGACATTGGGGAAAACAGAAGATATTAAAAATGAAGTTGAGTTGGAAGATATATTTTCAGTAGTGTTCAAGGGTTTTTGAAACCTGAAGGATATCGTTCCTTTCTGCGTAATTTTATCTCTTCTGTACTTTTCACAAAGCTTCAAGTTAACCGTCAGAAATTCTCTTTGAAATGCGTTTTATGCATAATATTTAACTCCTTAGAACTCGTTTATAAACCCTTAAACCCTTAGGATAAATCCTGTTCTCTGTCATCTATTCATTCTCATGAAATTCTGTAACCGTTTTCACACTCAGATCAAATAAATAAAATGTGAAGCGGTGATTCCAGGTATAAATTCGATCCCCAAAAAGGAAGATCGAAGAAAAAATGAGAAATAAAGTTCCAACAATCAGCTCGAAACAGAGAAAGATCCCAATATCCAGAACCCGATAAATGGGCTAGCAACAACGGTTTTATAAGCTCTTATATGCTGTTCCACGCATTGCCTGAGATCCAAGGATGACCGAGCAACGACCAGCTGTTGCCTGGCAAAGCCACTCTACTCCTCCTCATTCTTCTTCTTATTCTCTTCGTGTTCCCCTTTTTCAATGCTGATGAGATTGTTGCCTGAGGTCAGTGGCCTCCAAAGCCATCATAGCGGTTCTCAAATTCACGAGACAATAGATCGACCATTTTATTTTACTAGAACAAATTTTATCATTTTCTTGGCGTTATGATGCTCCACTAGTCGTCAATTTTAGGGGTTTGAAAATTCGAATAATGATAAATGGGCTGGTATCTTATTTAATTTTGAAAGAAAAATGTTAAAATTTTATATTCTAGGCTACCAAACAGGTTTACTGAGATTTGCTCTTAGCTTCGAATTAATTTCTATCCAAAAATAGAATTGCATAATAATAATCCGATAAAATTTTTCATCGCTGATTTGATTTTTTTTATGTATTCTATGCAAATGTGAGGATATGAATTGATTTTCTGAGTATTGGTTTATTATTCGAAAAAATATATCAAGTTTAAAATTTTCCCTAGACTAGACATTGAAAAATTAAAAATTCTGTTGTCATGTTGATCTCGTTCCTCTTCCTCTTTTCACTTTCTTCCATCAGAATTAGATAATAGAATTAAAATACATTGATTTTTCTTCATTATTAAGAAAAAAACGTTTTGAAATTTTCAAGATTCAAAAATTGATTTTTAAAATTTATTTCTGCTTTTCCTTCCTTACATTTTCCGCATTTCCCATGTCTGTCAACGGAATACGATCACAGAAATTAAAAATGTTAATCTCCCGTCAGTTTTAGGAAAAAAAAACAATTTGAAAAAACCAATCACTTCTTATCGGGAAGTTGGAATTTCAAAAAGACATAGAAAAGTAGATCTTTTCATTTGATTGATACTAATTGATGATCATCGGTTTCGCTTTGCAATTTCCTTCTTTGGTTCTATTGAAATGCGATCAAAGGGATGTAAAATATCCATATTTGTTCACATTTTCAGATCATTGGTACTAATGAATTTAAACAAAAAGAAAGAAATGAGAAATTTTAGGTATGATTATCGAAAATTGTTTGTCGATCTGTATTCTCACGTGATTTATGAGGGATTCTTCTTCATTCAATGTTGTAACTAATGAATTAACGAACAAAAATATATATAATAACAATAAGAATGAATAAAATTAAATTAATCTAGTTGTGAAGATAGAAATGGAAACAAAGTAAGATAAAATCACATAGTATAAATTAATCTAGCGACGGATAATCGCAATTCAATAATAATTGTTGATGCTTCCAATTTCTTTATCCTTGGAAATAATAGTGGCAATGTGATAGGAGAATTGCAGAGTAAAGTGGAAGTTTGCTATCGACTTTGACTCCCAAAATCTCTTGTTAATCCATGAAGATATCAATAATTAAAGTGGAACACAAATGTTCCACTTCTCTACACTCTCCCCTACATTATTAAAATGATCCAACAAAATTTTAAACATTCAAAATCATATCAATGTTTCATACTCTTATATTAACGACTGGGCCAAGGTCCACCGAGAAAAAATCGCATTCAATGACCCTCTTATTCTAAATATCCATTTAACTTCTTTTATCCATAAAATCCCAAATCCGCAAAAACAAACTTATTCGTTTTTCATACTCTTGATACTTTATTAAGTCGTCACCTTGACGCTTTTATGTATTCCTAGGTGGAAGAAAAAGCCTGTCAAGACCTTCATAATAAGCTGACGCATTGTAGTGATTAAGAGTTTTTTTCTAACCGAAAGACAATATAGGGAAGAAGAAAAATAGTGAGGGATTGGATAGTCCTGCAGCTTTCACCTGAGTTACAACTAAGGCTTCATGTGAACAATGTGCATTATCAAGTTGCGTAGATTTTTGTTTTACTATCAGGGCCGTGATACCATTGGGGCTTCCGTCGATCACCGGCACGTAATTGTATATAAATCGACAATGGGTTTTTCACTGATTCCACCTCGCCTCACGTTCAGTCACGTGTTCTAGACACCACATTCATATATTATACGTAGATAAACGCCTCAGGTTATGCACCCATTAATTCTCCACCGTAGAAATTTCCCCAAGAAATTAAACTTTCGAAATTTATAGAAAATTTTAAATTTTGGTTCACAATAAAATTTCTATGTATTGGGACCCTATTTTTTTTTGCAATCTTCCCTTCTTCAAATTTAGTAATGGACTAAAGAAACGTACTTAGTCAATTCTTCATATGTTAAAGATTTAACTATCTTTGGTAACAAGTGTCATTTTCTTCTGGAAAGACTTTTTTCATAAAAGAATGGAAAATGTATAAAAATATTCAACTCCTCCGACGTCCATAACTCAACCGTGAAACTTATATCTGGAAATATAGGAAGGATGTCTGCCAGATATATGTCATATATAAAGGAAAATAGGTCTCACTCATATGAGATGATTTGCTCATATGTTTAGGGTGTGGGCAAGGTTCCGAGTTTAAATCCCGGTCGGGTAGAAAGATGAGATCTAACCATTTTAAAATCTTGATCATCATCGCAATATACTCAACCGAGTCGAAGCGATGTAAAATAACAATTAAAAAAAAAACATTTTTTTAGGATCATGTGCATCAATAATACCAATTCAAACCCTAGGATAAATGTACAGGTAATGTTCCTGTTACCTGGAAACAGGATTGGGTCGTTCACTGAAAATCGAAGTTTTCTACGGTACATAGTAGAATACTGGTAATTTACCTCTAAATGGCAAAAAAAGGTAAATAACTGGTAGAAAACCACTTAACCCGACTATCAGGAAGCTGGAGGAGCCAGGTCGTATCACTAAAGAAAGTCGTGTTTGAAATTAAGACACTTTTGTCCCGTTCATGAAAACGTTTGTATCCTCAAAATGAAGTCATTTTTAGAGACTCAACTTAAGACATTAAGCCATGCATTTTTGACTAAATAACAAAATCTTTTTATTGTTTTCTTTTCATTTTTCTGATATTCGGTCGTACTTTTCAAGAAATAAACATTATTCTAGAGTTGACTCTTAGGTCCGGTTGCACCAGCTCCAGTTAACTCGTTGTTCTATTCGAATAGAATTTTCAATGAATCACAAGATTAACTATCATTAAATCAACAGTATAATTACAATCCATGCGCTAATTTACTATATTAGTACATACAGGGGAGTATGTGTTCCACATTTTGGTATATATTGTTCATATATAATATATATAATGTATACATAACTCATATATTCTCCACATATACATTATTCGATGGGGTCACTTCGATTTACCGTTGGTAACCGCATAATGGCCCAATTGGAAGGAATCTTATGTATAATGGAAACGATTCGAAATCGTCTGAGATTTAATGGTGAATAATTCACATTATCTGCAATGAAGATTTGCATATGAAATTAAGAGAAGGGGCTACTTGCACCAACAGGTACCACTTGTAATGGAAAATACTATAGCACAAGATCCGTGAAAAATAAAAATTGTTAATTGTGACCTACAGAAATATGCTACATGAAGGTTTCGTATTTTTAGAATAAGAAACTTACACTGAATAACAACATTAATAACAATTGGACGAACAATACAAATGATTTAAACGGCATGGTTGTGCCGTTTTACTATACGAGACCAAATGAATTAAAATTGAAAGCATTGATATGGTATTCATGTGGGCGGTGATTAATTTACAAAGAACGAACGAGGGTACGATAAACCGTACGGTCAACGTTTCTCAAATGACAGAGGAAATTTGTTTTCTTTGTCAGAACAATGACACGAATGAGTTAGATGCATGGGGTCACTCACCAGTGAGAACTGCTCCAGCAAACATGAAAAGAAATCCAAATGCCGGAAGGGCGATTTGACAATTTGCAGCGATGACGACTCCAGCTACCATCAGACCACCCTCTATTTTCTCCACCCTCAGACGTGATATGGGGGTGGGACATTTCAATTTAGATGCCAGACCCCCACTCAACATTTCTTCCTCACCCGATACTGTACTCGGCCTGTAATGACAAAAAAAATTTCATTCTGCAATGGTTTAAAGGTTGAATAATTTTGATGGAAAATTTTCAACGAACATTTTTTTAAAGGCAATTTATATTTTGTATCTTATTCAATCTACGTCATTGTTACGAGCCCTATTACACTCTCTGCCCGTGAACAATTACAATCGCATTGGAGGAGTCAAGTCGAGGGTTCATTCAACGATGTATAATTCCGTGACCTCTATTGGCTGGAAACTGGCCGACATCAGTCGTGCTATATAAATATGCTTAAATGATCTTAATTTCGAGTAATTAACTGCCTGCCTTTTCTATAATATCCATGAGATTTACGCCTTGGCGAGTAATATTATTATTTTCGGAAAAAAATGAAACGAAATGAAGCACAATTGTGCAACGCGGAATGAACATGCAACACTTTAAATAAATGTTTTTTCAAGTATCTAAGAAAAAATTTACATAGTACATTTTTTACAATCTATTTTTGAATGATTTCTTACTGTTATTGTATCTGAAAATTATGTCAATGAAAATGAAATAGTTTCATCGGTTTTTCGCGATCAGAAATTTGTATTCTGCAGTACGGATAAATAAATTCCTATACACTGAGAAAAAAATTTATTCCTTCCAAGAAAATGTTATTGGTGATATCTTTTTCATACTCTTAGTAGAAGAAAATATCTCTTTTGGAACGTATTTCTCCAGGCCAGTCATTTCCAGGTGCTCCGAAATCAGTTCCAAGCGTGAGAATTATGGTGATCTATAAGAATATTCTTCTGCATATGACCTCGAAGAAACTCCAATAATAATTATTAACATTTGGAATTATTCCAATTTTCTTTACCTGAGAAAATCGCCAATTTGTAAAATCCGGAAGATATCGGAGAACATTTTGTCAAGGTCATATGTAGCATAATAATCAGATTGTTCAATATCACTGTAATTTTTGAGGATAGACTTGGACTCTCTGAAAATGACTGTCCTGGAAAAATTCGTTCTGAAAAAATATTATCTTCTGACGAGAATATCAATCCTTGGCAGGAATAATTTTTTCTCTCAGTGTACGCAGCCCCCTTTGACGGTCATAGAGTGGGGATATTGAAATTCACCTTAGAGGGTTAATGTCCTATTCATTGAAATTATATTTATGCCATCTAATTATGGTATGGTAAATTTGTTCTTAAACTAATGTTTGATTTTTCATTCGGATTTCCATTACATGTAAGTTTCATTAGTGAAACTTTAGTAATCCTATATGGATGATGCATACCACACTGAAAGAAAAATCTGAACTTCGATTTACAATAAGAAAATAGTTGAGGCATTTTGGTGAACGATACGATTTTTTTTTGTATACGGCACATAACATTATAGTAACTTCACAAGCGTAATTTTTGCAAATCAAAATGCAGTTAAACTATAAAATAGTTGCATGACTACATTCCATTGTAGTAATTACTTCTCCGGCCATAGTTACCGTAACCCATGAAAAATTGTTGAGGACTTTTTGACTATAATTCGATGGTGATGGAATATAGTCAGAAGAATTATATTTTTCTCTCAGTGCGTTGAGTCTGTGCGAACCCATATGTCATAGGGACGATCGTAGAAATTGGGAGATTTATGTTTCACGAGTATATAATTACTCTCCCACTTGTTCATTCTTCTTTTGAATAATAAAAAAAAATGTTAAAAAGTGGGCTCAGCCGGGATTTGAACCCGGGACCTCTCGCACCCAAAGCGAGAATCATACCCCTAGACCACTGAGCCTGTAGTCGGAGAAAATTAAAACAAAAACGTTCATAATGAATGAATGACAGATTCTTTAAAGCAGCTGAAACATATGTACAATTATATGGAAATAGGAGCAATAAAAATATGAACAAATAATTCTGGTTAGTGCTTAAATGGATAATTGGTAAAATTGACCTTGCAAGAAGATAAGGTCTTATAGGTTCTAGATATGTATAGACCGACTAAGTGAACAGGCAGTCAATAAGATTGAGTTCCTCCATGATTCAAACATAATTCAATTGCATGATATGTGAATTACGTGGAATCATTGATTTGTTCCAGGGGATAATTAAAATCTTGTTCCACTTTTTATCCTACTATTAGTTACAGTGATAGAAGGATTTAATTGCTGTTCACACGGGCTCCTAACTATCACCACTATTCGTTAATAGTTAATGAATGACATTAATAGTTGAGACTCCTCGTTAACAGCAATTAAATCCTCCCATCTTTTCTATCAGTGAATAAAGAAGAAAAATTAGTATGAAATAAATCTTTTAAAATCTTAAAAATCTCCGGAACAAGTCTGACAGAGTCCTAAGAATTCTCTCCATTCTACTGAGAGGTATTGATTAAAAATGTTCCATTTTCTGATCCCTATTTATAAAAATAGGCGACCAACTCTGTGAGAGATGATTCGAGTCAACATTATTGCTGCCTTCAGTTCTCATTTTTCTTTATGAATGTCAGACGAAAATGACTACACCTACCCAGAGATGGGGGAACTCGGATATTTTGTAAAATATCTTTCAAGTCAAAGTGAAGGGAACCGTTCATGGGTTACCAGTAGGGACGTAACGCGGACGTAAGGCGTTTTACTGTTAACCAACATTGAAATTCCACTTGTCTACCATCAAATATACGGAATTTATCTCCCTACGAAATTTTACGTTTTCAGTGCTCAGTATAATACAATGGAAATACTTGTGTGCAATAAGTGTTCTGTTGCTTTTTTTTGCTCAAATTCAAATCACTTTTTATTCTGCTCCCGATTTCATCGAAGTGGAAGTTCTCTTCTTGTCGAATAATATACCGGATTTGGAAATTAATAACATTTTTGTCCACATTTCACAGTAAAGGTTGTTTGTTTACAGATTTTGAAATTACTTAGGACCGTCACGATTTCTGAAATTGAACATCATCTTACTTATTGCTCGATTTATTTATCAATAAACGCGAAAAAGTTTTACGGTACATTTATTGTTAACTACGTAGTCAGTCTTATTCAAACTGAATAATCAATTATCAAATAATAATATCAAAGTGATCATGATTTTTATGAAAAAGAAAACTAACATCGTAATCATATATTTTCTAATCTGAAAAATTTCAAAAAATGACGTATTGCAATTGTAATAAGGGAGAAAACTGAAAGTCCACAAGATTCTACAGTATAACAACCGCAACAGCAACGACACTTCTTCGTATAGGTATAAATCAATTTAAGGATGTTCGACACCCTTTTAGCCAAAATTGACGTTGTTTTCATTTTTCTGGCAAATTATCGATGGGAGTGACGTGAAAAAATATAACGATTTTGTGGTTTGTCATTCTTTAATGGCTCACGAAGTTGCGTAGTGGTGCGATAATTTTCATGCGTTTTTTCTACAGTTTTGTGATTCTTTTGAAAAGTTCAGAGGAAACGCAGGAAAATGTTCGCACCACCTTAAAATTTCGTCAGTCATTAAATAATGACAAAACGCAAAAACGTTATATTTTTTCACGTCAATTCCATCATAAGGTTGCCAAAAAAATTAAAAAAACGTAAATTTTGGCGGAAAGGGTGTAGAACATCCTTAATATACGTGAATTGTATATTGCAGTATTTCAACAGTAACACAGAAAGTCCTCAATGTCTATTCATCAAACACCAACCATCAATCAAGCATAGGCAAACAAAATTCAGCAATTTGTACGGCTCTCGAAAACCCATCAATCCCAAATACCCACCACATCGATCCCACAGTGTCGTTCGAATTCATCTTTCCGCTGGCTAACATGAAAATAAATGGAACACAAATAATTGCAGCTGCTAACGAAGCCCCTTACCTATTTAGTAGGATTCGTTAATAGTTAATTAATCTTTAACTATTAACGAATCACGGTAACAGTTAAGAAGCCTCAGTAACTAAATCTTTATATCAGTATATCGTCTCTTTTTAATGAGAATTAATTTCACAGCACATCATTCATTTTCATTTTAACTGCACAAGTCGTAATTTTTTCCTCTTTTCGCTTTGACGTTTCGTTATATTTCTTGTTTCACATTGCCTAATGGAATCTTTACTATTGAGCTGTATCTTTTATTACCTCTATTTTTCATTTTGTTCTCAATACTGAAAAGCAGACAGTTTCTCTAAATTATTCTTTCATCCCTTATTTCATTATAATTATAATGTTGGAACTGGAAAAAAGAACATAGAATTTCTTCCCACATCAAAACTTTGTATAAAACTTTACAGAATTTAATTTTCACTAGTGCATAATATGAAACGTTATAATGCTCCTTTTAGATTCACCACATTCCAATTAGCGTTTTATCACTAAAGCTGTAGTATGAACTTGTGTGATATCCAACTGATGTTTTATTGAATATGAATAATATACCTTCTGAACTCACCGACTAGTGAATATAAATGCCTCCAGCCTTCTATCGCCGTTCTGAATGTTGTTTCTCATTATCGAGGAGTAAATAGTTCACGGCAAGGTAAAAAACCCATTTTCATCTACTCATTTCCACATTATAGACCCAAATTTTTTGTTTATCGCTTTGTTTGGATGAAGGCAGGAAAAGAAATCGTTTAAAGGTAATATATTTACTTACGGGAAAAAATGCTCAATTCACTCTTTTCCCTTTGATTGAACTTGTTATATTCGCTCCGAGGAGAATTTAAATTAACTTTTCTATTTTCTCATCAATTTTTACTCATCGTTCCACTCCATCTATTGTAATGTAAAGTATGGAGAAGTGATCAAATAAATTAAGGACGCCAAAAGATCATTCTAGAGCGAGAGCAGCGACTACAAACCGATTCACGATAGCACTAAATGTTTCACGAGTTGTCTCCGAGTTTTCGACTTTTGTCACAAAAAACTTCCTATGTATGGATGTTATATGTACATAAGAAATGATAACGGAGATTGTCAGTATAACTTTGAACGGCGCCAAAGGTTTCGCTTATCATTGGGTATAAATATTCATTTTA